CCTGCTCCTCTGATGCTGCTTGGCCTGCTGTGTTCATCCAGCTCTACACCTTTTTATCTCAGATTCTCCAGCATCTGCAGTTCCTACAATCTCAGGAAAAATAGCATGTTTGGGATTGACACACTGCTGGGCCAAAGCAAACACAGAAATTGCTGGAGAAATTCAGCAGGTTTGGCAGCGTCTGTGCAGAGAAAGTATCACCGGACTCGAACAGTTAACTCTGCTTTCTCGTTTCAAATGCTGCCAGACCTGCTGAGTTTCTTCAGCAATTTCTGTTTCTGTTTTTGTTTCAGATTTCCAGCATTTGCAGTTCCTTGTTTCTATAACATACTGCTGGCCCTGCTATTGAATTCCTAATAGAATAACAGTGCGTCACTTTCCAGTTTTCATGCTTTGCTTCTCTTTCTGAAACTGGAATCAAAGTTGGTGAAATTTTCCAGTTCACTGTGAGAAGTGGCACTGATACAGTCAGTGGACTGGGGACACAGGTGAGGGAGTGGGGATTCCAGTGGACAGGGGATACAGGTGAGGGAGTGGGGGTGTCAGTGACATGGAAACAAAGAAAACGTGCTGGAATATTTTGGAAGATCCTGGGATATTGGCAGGATGAGTCTGGACAGGAAGTGAGGTGGGAGTTGAGGTAGAAAAAGAATTGTGTCACTACAGAAAACAGATTGAAAGTATGGGAGTGCCACACCAGTCCTGTTTATGACCTTGGGAAGAAGGTTGAAGTGAAATTAGGGTCTATTGTGTTGGAGGCAGATGACCACGGGAGATGAGAGCACTGACAGTTCGTTAGAAACAACATGGGGTCGGGTTAGCTCAATCAGCTGGATGGCTGGTTTGTAATACAGATTGACACCAAAGAGTGAGTTCAGTTCACATCCTGACTGAGGTCACCATGAAGGACTTTCAACTTCTCAGTCTCAACTCTCACCTGAGACGTGGTGACCCTTCGGTTCATCCACCATCGGCTCATCTCTTTCTAATGAGACAGTAGCTGTATGATCCTCTGGGACTAGAAACAATGGCTTGATCCTTGGCCATGCCCCGAGAGGATTAGGAGGAGGTGTCAGGGAGTTTAGTGTTCAGCCTCTCCCTTGTAGTAGCTGGCATTGCAGCACCTGACAATTATTCTGTTTTCCCATTTACTCCTCTTCCACCCTCATCTTGTCTGTCTTTTGCCTGGTGCTATCATTCATAGAAATATCAAACATGTTTCTAATCCAGGTTAAAGTCCAACAGGTTTATTTGAAAACAAAAGCTTTCGGAGTGTAGCCCCTTCGTCAGGTGAAGTGAGAAGCACACAGAACACAGAATTTCTAAGTTAAAGGGTCACACAACTTGTGAGGATGTATTCAACAACCTAAGATGCTGTTAAATCTTTAACCAGTTAGAATGTTTTAATCTATTTAATATGTACACTTAAATCCCCAAACTCCTTTCAAGTCACTGCCCTGAGAGAACTGAAGGTTTTATCAGTGTAAAGAAGAGATGACATCTTAGGTCACATGCTCTCGCTCTCTTCCCCACTCCCCCCAAACACACACGCACACACATGCATATAAATCTGTGGGGTGAATTTATATTTGCATTTTTTTAATATTTTGTTCAAAAAGCACACAATTTATAAACAGTCAATGTGGCATTTTAAAAATTCCTACTTTAGAAATAAAACCAGTCTGACTCCAAATCAGAACACAAACCAATTCTAAACAAGGCCTCACACCTAACATGCATTATCTGACCTAATATGTCACCTCTTCTTTACCCTGATAAAACCTTTTTAGTCCTCTCAGGACAGTGAGTTCAAAGGAAGTCTGAGATTTACATATACATGTTAATCAATTAAAACCTTCTAACTGATTAAAGATTTAACAGCATCTTAGGTTTATTGAATACATCCTCATCAGTTACATTCTGTGTTGGGTACTTTTTTCTCTCTTCATCTGATAAAGGGGCTACCCTCCAAAAAGCTTGTGTTTTCAAATAAACCTGTTGGACTGTAACCTGGTGTGACTTCTGACCTTGTCCACCCCAGTCCAACACTGGCACCTCTGCATCATTTCTATGTTTCCTTTTTATTATTTAGTCCTTCCAGCCTTCTACCTATCACTGAGCTTCCCTTGTATTTCATTCTCTCTTCCCTGTCTCGGTACATGGTTTAAACTGGTTCACTTTCTAAATTTTGTTCGTCCTGATGACCTGAAACTTGAACAGTGTTCCTGTCTTTCTCTTTCTCTTCCTGAGAGCACGTTCTGACCTACTGACTATTTCTGATGTTTTCTGCTGTTGAACTGCACTAGTAGCTCAATGGGAATGAGTTTTGTACTATGGTGCCAGCACAAGCTTCTGCGGATGAGTGACCTACCATGGAGAGTGTTTATGTTGGACAGCAGGTCCAAATTAAAGGCCTGTATGAAGATACAGGTAGGAGTCTGAATTTGGAGTCTAATATCTTTATCAGTCTTTGTATCAAAATCAGGTTCAGATATTTGTCAACCTCAGTAAAGCAGAACTAAGCTACTTGGTCCATGAAATCTGTTTTTTTTTCCATTCAGTGAGATTATGGCTGACCTGATAATCCTCACCTCCACTCTTCTGCCTTTTTCCTATTGTTTAAAAGTGTCTGTCTCAGCCTCAAATATACTTAATGGCCTAGCCTCAACATCCCTCAGTGGTGAAGAATTCCACTGATTCACTGCCCTCTGGAAGAAATTCTTCTTCATCTGTGTCTTAAATGGGCTTGCTTGGAGATTATGTTCACTGGTCCTAGACCCTTTCAAAAAGGAAACAGCCTCTCTGCATCTACCCTGTCAAAACCACCTAAGAATATTTCATCTTTCAATAAGTTTGCCTCTCAATCTTCTGCCCTCCAATGAACACAAACCCAACTTAATCTCTCCATTGTAAGAAAATCCTTCCATGCCTGATATCGGCCTACTGAACCTTCTCTGGAATGCCTCTTAAGCCAGCATGTCTTTACCTAGATATGGGGACCAAACATTCTTCACAGTATTCCAGATTTAGTCTGACTAGTATAGTTTGAGCAAGATCTATTTTTTGTATTCCATTTCCTCTACATTAAAGGCCAAAATTCCACTTGCCTTCCCCATTGACTGCTGTTCATCCACTGAACTTGGATGCTGGTTTTTTTATGATTCATTCATGAGGACCTCTAAATCCTTTTTGTGCGGAAGCTTCCTACTGTCTGCCTTCATTTAAAATAATAAATCGGCTTTTTTGTAATTCTTCCTGCCAAAATGCATAACCTCACATTTTCCCTCACTGTGTTTCATCTGCCAAGCACCTGCCCACTCACTTTAGTTGTCTATATCCCTCTATATGCTACTTGTGGTGTACTAACCACTTGCTTTCCTACCTATTGTTTTGTGCCACCTGTAAACTTGACAACTGTTCATTTGCTTCCCTTATCCAAATCATTAGCATTTTGTAAACAATTTTGTCCCCAGCTTATTCCTGTGACCCCATTAATTACAGGTTGCCATCCTAAATCTGCCCACTTTATCCCAAATCTGTGCCTTCAGTTAGTTGGCTAATCCTCTATCCATACTAATCTATTACCCCCTACCCTAGGGGAGGCAATGGCCTAGTGGTATTATCGCTGGACTGTTAATCCAGAGTCCCAGATAATGTTCTGAGGACCTGGGTTCAAATCCTGCTGTGGCAGATGGTGGAATTTGAAATCAATAAATATCTGGAATTAAGAATCTAATGATGACCGTGAATCCATCGTTGATTGTCAGGAAAAACCCATCTGGTTCATTAATGTCCTTTTAGGGAAGGAAACTGCCATCCTTACCTGGTCTGGCGTACATGTGACTCCAGACCCACATAAATGTGGTTGACTATAAAACTGCCTCTGGGCAATAAGAAATGGGCAATAAGAAATGGGCAATAAGAAATGGGCAATAAATGCTGCTTGCAACGCCCTCATTCCGTGAATGAATAAAGAAACACCATGGGTTCTAACTTAGTAAGTAACCTTATGCGCAATACCTTTACGGAATGCCTTTTGGAAATCCAAATATAATGTCTACTGGTTCCCTTTTGTTGTTTTCTCTTATTCCCGGATTGTTACCTCCTCCAATAATTCCAATAAATTTGTTAGGCATGTTTTCTCCTTCATGACGTCATGCTGACACTGGTCATATTACATATTTCTAAATGTTAGTGTATCCTTTTATAATAGACTCTGACAAATGTTAACCTAACTGAGCTATAGTTATCTTTTCTGAAAACAATAGATGCTGAAGATCACAGTGGGTCAGGCAGCATCTATGGAGAGACAGCAAGCTAATGTTTCGAGTCGAGGTGACTCTTCATCAGAGCTGATGTGAAGTGAGTTGGGGGGAAGGGAAAGGGAAAATGACAGGGAATATGATGGTAAATAAAAAGGTAAGCAGCAGGTTAGCATGTGTGCAGGAGGGTTTAAGTTCAAGGCAGACTATGAAAGAAGCAAAAAGGAAGGATAACTCAGGAGATATTATTCGAGATGTTGGAAATCATGAGGGTAAGAAAGCTAGCAGAAAGGCACTTTACCTGAATGCTCGTAGCATTAGTAACAAGGTTGATGAGTTAACGGCACAAATCATCACGAATGAATATGATTTGGTAGCCATTACGGAGACATGGTTACAGGATGGTCACGACTGGGAGTTAAATATCCAAGGGTACCAGACTATTTGGAAGGACAGACAGGAAGGTAAGGGAGGTGGTGTAGCTCTGATATTCAAGGATGCCATCAGGGCGGTACTGAGAGATGATATAGGTTCTATGGAGAATGAGGTTGAATCCATTTGGGTGGAAATTAAAATTTCTAAGAGGAAAAAGTCACTGATAGGCGTAGTCTATAGGCCACCAAATAATAACATCACATCGGGGCGG